AGCACAACCAGCCAGTGCAGCAGCAAAACCCACAATGCATGCTGGGAGCCCAGGAAGGAATGCCAGCCATGGCCAACCAAGTACAGAGGCCGGTGATGGCACCTCAGCGGCTACAGCCTCAAGTAGGACCCCAGAGCATGGCACCCATGGGCCCACAAGGCCAAATGATGAACGCTGCTCAAAATGGCAATCCACAGCTGTACCGCCGACAGCAGCTGCTCAGGATGCAGCAGCAGGGCGGCATGGCCCAGGGTCACGGCCAGTTCCCCCAACAACAGCAAGGCCCGGCTAGCTTTTCCCAGCTACGAATGCAGCAGCAAATGGCTATGCAAGGAGGTGGGGGGCCCATCGGCCAGCATCCTCCAACATCCCAAATGGGTCAGGCTGGCATGGGCATGGATGGAGCTCAGAGCCTGCTTCAGCAGCGCATGCTTCAGCAGCAGCAACAGCAAATGCTTAAACAGCAGATGGGCTCTCCAGCGCAAGCAAACTCGATGAGCCCGCAACCACACATGCTCCAAGGTCAAGCCCAGGCAGGCACTCACCTACCAGGGCAGACAATGGCCAACACGCTAGGAAACCAAGTTCGCTCCCCAGCCCCAGTGCAGTCGCCCCGTCCACCCTCGCAACAGCCCCCGCATTCCAGTCCCTCCCCACGGATACAGCCTCAGCCCTCGCCTCAGCACAGCACCCTCCACTCCAGTTCTCCTCACCCCAGCCTGGGAGGACCTATGTCAGGCCCCATGGATCAAGGACACATGGGAACACCAGACCAGAGTGCAATGCTGCCGCAGCTTAACACACCAAATCGAGGAGGGTTGAGTAATGACATGGGTATGGTGGGTGACACGACGGGAGACACGCTGGAGAAATTTGTTGAAGGATTGTAGCATTTTATGACATAAGAAGGGCCTTTGTCTGTTTTCAGCTGAGAATATTTTTACTTGCTGATGTACAAATCTAAATGAATTACAAACTGATGAGTCCTGCGGCCTACAGACTGTGAACTTTCCTAAAACCGAGGGACTGCTTTTTTTTCTTCTAACCTAAAGTGAGTTAGTAATTGCTGTTTAAAAGAAGACGAGGAGATACAAAGAATATATTTTTGGTTCAGACCAGCCATGCAAGACTTCACCCTGGTCTTTGTGTTGTTTTAATTTGTTTTTCATTTATTATTCTCTGGTATTGACTTTTATAACAAAACTTCTCAAAACAAAAATATTTCAATTTATTATTACTTTTTTACTTTGTACCTTTGGAAATTAATATCGTATTTGTGTTGAGAAGACTGTAAAATTATTTGTCTTGGGGAATTTTTGCCAGGTTTCACCTCTTGTTCAGTTTCTCTTTTCTTGGCTAATTTATTCTAATATGCCATTTTTCAAAAAGGACTGCCCTTGGGAAAGCTTTAATTCCTTTCCTGTTTGCAGAGTCTATGGGAGATTAATGTATTTGTATAGATTTAGGAGTTATTGCACACACCCAAACACAACATGCAGGTGTTGAGAGACACTTGCACTGAAGCTTGTAAAGGATCACAGGTGCCCGAATGTTCTTTTTCACTGGGCCTGGGCCCAGTATTTGTCTTGCAGATGTTTAAAAAAATTGCTTTGTCTCTCCTTCAGTATAAAGAACTTCTCATTAAGTACTGAAACTCTTTTGCCTGTGGTGGGAATTTTACTTGTTTGACTGCTGGTTTGTATTAAGAGAGAGTTTTGTGCATCATTGTCTCTCTTGCATTAAACTTGAATTGATGATGAACTGTTCTCTAATGTAAATCACGCAGCTAGACAGTACTGTAAATATGCAGGAAAAAGAATGAAATCACTGTACAAACTGGTTCAAATGGCTCATTTCGTACTTAACATACCACATTGTTAAATAAACCTGTGTGCCACAGATTTACTGTAATTTTTACACTTGAAGCGTACAGTGCAGTGAATTGTCACTGGTGTTAGATTTGTTTAAATTATTTATTATTTACTTCCTCAGTTAAACTAAACATGTGATTTTTTTTTTTAAGAAAAAGTAAAAAACGCAACAAAGAGAAGATCTAGTTTAGCACCACTCTGCTCCTTACATTGAGTGTCACAGGCATGTGTCCATCTCACACTATCCCTTGCCTCTGCTGTTAAACAAACAATTTCCATGTCCTTCATTAATATCCTTAAATCTCCTCATTGAAAATCCGAAATAATTAATTGATCCCCAAGGGAAGGATTTGTTGGAAATGTTTACAATGAAATAAAGTTTGGTGGGGGCATTTGCAATCATGAAAGTTACTGAAAAATAGAAATAACCCTTCCTGGCAGCTGTCTCTGACATCCTCTGTCCAATAATTCTGGTATCTTTCTGCTGCATCAGTCAACCATCTTAACCTTCTCTCTTTAATGTTATCCCTGAACAACTCATCCACATGTGTCCTGCTGGATTTCTATTCCTCTGTGTCTCTGCCGCCCTTGTCCTTAGTGGTATGTTACTGGAGATTTTTTTTTTGCCCAAGAAATGTGCTAATGTTCTCCCATGTTATGGATGTGTTTAAAAGACAGAAATTGTCCCTGCAGAGTTTTCATGTGAAAATGAACATTAGGCAGATATTGAGTGATAGTAAAATTCTGTTTTCTGAGTTCATCAAAGTGGTATTTAAGCAATCAAGGATTTGGGTTGGAAATTTGTAAAATAACTTCATTGTTGAATATTTCAATATACTCGCTATATCCAGACACAATAACTTTCCCTTACTACTGTTTCACATCAATCCTGATACTCTCCCCTGCGTGCACTTTCACCTTTGTTTGAGGACACCGTTTGAGTCCTCTTTGTGCCAATTACAAAGTAGAATAAATTAGGAGAACTGGAGCAGTGAGAGCATATAGAATACTTAACTGATAGTATTGATATTTTAAGTTTACGTTTACATGATTGTTGTTTGACCTTGAGTGGCAAGATAAGAGATAAATATTTTAAAAATGCCATTAAGATTTATTTTTTATCACATGTAAATCAAGCGTCGGTTTCTTGTTTTACAAAGGAAAAGCGTATTACGCAAAAAAAACAAAAAAACAACCTGCCATATTTTCTGTCAAATTATTTTTGTAATCGTCAGAAAGAAAGAATTTTCATCAGGCAGCGAGTTGGGGCTCTACTGACGTCATCGCACGGCGCCGTGGTCCTTTTCTTGCTCTGTCGTTCAGCGTGTGTCGGCTGACCCTGTCGATTTTTCTCTCTTGATCTGCCATTTACATCTGTATTAATGTCCCGCTGTCTGTCTCTGTCTCGGTTCGTCCTCGGGTCATCTCAGAGGAACACACCGCAAGTAAAGGCATATGTTCGTGGAGTGAGCAACAGGACATTTACGCGCTGTTTGCCTGCAGGTAAGTTGTTTACTTTAGCATTGGGCCGAGTGACCTAAAATAACATACATGGTTAGTTGCAAACAAACCTCTGCTGCGATACATTTAAATAATGCACTGTTATTGTATCGGTAGCTTAAGCAGTAGTAACGAGTTATTTGCAAAGGAATTTAAAATAGTTTTCTCAATATAGAGTGCTTTTTGCTTTTTTAGTTCTTTTTACTCTATTTATTGTGTTAACTCCTCTTCTCTCTTTTTCTGCACTGCCACTGGCTACTGTACTAGTATGTTTCCCCCCAGGGGGATGAATAAAGCCCTACTCTACTCTCTACTCTCTACTCTACTCTATACTCATGTCATAATGTCAAACTTGAGTACCTCAAAACAATAAATGTCTGTGAAATACAACTGTAGTACTCTGATTATATCTAATTTGTAACCCTTACAAATACATATTTATGTGTAATTATAACTTTTGCAATTCTTTTGCGGAGTCTGGAAGTGGTTAAATATGCACCTTTGTTCTAATTTGCTCCTGATATTAGACCTGCAGGTTGGACCACAGCAGAGATGGAGCTCTCGACCAAAGGCGTGGAGGTCGCAGGCCTCCTGTATAAACTTCTATCAGCAGTCTTACTACAGCACCCAGGAAGCTGAGAAAGAACCGGAGGATGAGCCGCTGCACAACATCATCACTGACACTGAGTCAGTTCAAGGTACTGAACTTATTGTAGCTTATTAGTAATGTTTAGTTTTATTTAAGATCTAGTCTGATCTGATGTGATTCTGATCTATCCAGGTAGCCTCTCCAAACACGAGTTCCAGGCTGAAACCAAAAAGTTGCTGGACATTGTTGCCAGGTCTCTGTATTCTGAGAAAGAGGTAAAAGAAGGATTATCCAGGACCCTTCGTTAAACAACTTTGTTAAATCAGCTGTTCTGACTGAAGTCCACAACTCTGTCGTGACATTAGGTTTTCATCCGGGAGTTGATCTCTAATGGCAGTGATGCTTTGGAAAAGCTGCGTCACAAAATGATCACAGAAGGAGGTGAAACCGCTCCCATGGAGATTCACCTGCAGACAGATGCTGCCAAAGCCACATTCACCATCCAGGTACAGCCAGGAACTCTCTGCTAGCTTCGCAAATAACTCAACAAATATACTGTATATGCTGTAGGTGGTTATGAAAATGAGACTCATTCTAACCAGAGTAAAATTGTGAAGGTTTCTGTTGCTGATTTTAGATCTAATTTATCAGATGCACAGTATAATGGGAATTAAGGAATGTGAGTGACAATCGGTAGGATTTTAATTTTTAGCAAACTTACATCCTGTTGAAGATGAGGCCTGAGTAGACCAGTGGAAAGATTGTCTGCCATTACAGGTTCATTTCCATACTGGTTATATCAGGTGTTACAACTGTGCCATTTCACCATGCTGATTACTAATAAGAAGCATTGATTAAGAGACGAGCTTAAAGTGAACATTTCTTCTTTTAAACTTTAAACCACTAATTTAGACCATAATATTATCGTCAATGTTTTCTGACCTTATGTATTGATGGGCACTTAAACTTATATTTACAATGAACTCATATATAAACTGGGAAAAGTAAAAGCATGCATTTCTTGTTTAAAAAAACAAGGGTTAATATTCTGTTTTTGTGTTGTTTTTTGAGCATCGTTGCCACCTGGTGGATGAAAAGTGTAAGTACTGACAGGTGACTAGATTTCCTGCTGTGCTGTGCTCTGACAGGACACTGGTGTCGGGATGAACCAAGAAGAGCTGGTGGCCAACCTAGGAACAATCGCCCGCTCTGGTTCAAAGGTGACCACTGTTGACTTTTTATTCGACTTTTTTTTTGTCTGTTGTATATTTCATACATGTTTTAATCTGTTCATCAAAATCTATACACCCCAGGCCTTTTTGGACGCTCTGCAGAGTCAGGCGGAGGCCAGCAGCACCATCATTGGTCAGTTTGGGGTTGGGTTCTACTCTGCCTTCATGGTAGCTGACCATGTGGATGTTTACTCCCGTGCTGCTGCTCCAGACTCACCTGGATACAAGTGGTCCTCAGATGGGTGAGAAAACTGTCCCACAATCCAATTGAAAACATCTCTGAGAGTTACAGTTTCTACAACTCTTAAAAATAAAGACCACGTTTGGAAAATGAGGATTATCAGATGTGTCTGTTGTTTTCTTCAGCTCTGGAGTTTTTGAGATTGCTGAAGCCAGTGGGGTTCAACAGGGAACAAAGATTGTGCTGCACCTGAAGAGCGACTGCCAGGAGTTTTCCTCTGAGGACAGAGTAAAAGGTAAAACTGCCGTAGTGAAACTGTGACTGTATCTGTGACAAAATACTGCAGCAGATTGTCCCTCCTCCCTGCTGTTCCCTCACCTGTCTATGCCACTGAGTTACTAAAAGACATAAATAAGCATGTTGCTACACATTTAGATGCAAATCTCAACTCAGAGTACATTTTTAGCAACAATATTATTGGTAAAAATAATTAGTACATAATAATTATATAGTATAAAAATATACTTTTTTGGTATGTCAACTTTTGATCACAGTAAAAACTATACTAAGATTCGGAAAAGGTTTTCAAAAATGTTTCTCAAAAATGATTAAAATGCACTACTTTGCTTTAAAATACATAAATTCATTAAAAATTTGAAAAACTATACTTTTTTAAATACGAAACAAACCAACATAACAAAAAAATGCTGATGTCTTAAACTTACAGTCCTATTGACCAAAAACTGTTTATTGATAAACCAAGCACTGACCAGTGGTTGAAACATGTTTTTGTACAGTATTTTGTTGTGCATCTGCCACAACTCTGGAGCAGAGGTTGACAACAATAAAGTATTCATTTAGCATTGATGACATAAACCTTGCAGCACAGAGGTGAACTTACTCCTCTCTTGTTTGTTTTCTCAGAGGTTGTAACAAAATACAGCAACTTTGTGAGTTTCCCCATCTTCCTGAATGGAAGAAGGCTCAACACTCTGCAGGTGAGCCTCTCTGATGCTGTCATTCACTGGCTCTCACAGGCTTTTACATCATCAAATAAATGAAAACAATGTTGAATACTTTAAACCTCACGCCATTTTTCCTCCAATCACTAAGCAGATATAAAATAAAATATTTAGAATTGTGTAAAAAGGTTTCGGATGTTTCCCACTTGTCACTCGTCAGGCCTTGTGGATGATGGACCCCAAAGAGATCAGTGACTGGCAGCACGAGGAGTTCTACCGCTACGTGGCTCAGGCCTACGACAAACCGCGCTACACGCTGCACTACCGCACTGACGCGCCACTCAACATCCGCAGCATCTTCTATGTTCCTGAAGGGGTGAGGGGGAAACTGGGAGTCAGAGATGTGTCTGTGTTTTATCATTAAATACTTAAATACTTTTGGGTTTTCATATAAATTCTCAGAAGCCCAGTATGTTTGACGTGAGCAGGGAGATGGGCAGCAGCGTGGCTCTGTACAGCAGGAAGGTCCTGATCCAGACCAAAGCCGCTGACATCCTGCCCAAGTGGCTGCGCTTCCTGCGAGGTCGGTGACCCTGCTGCTGACCTTTACCTGTAAAGTTTATTAAAAATGGATTGTCATCAGGGAAGACTGAACAAGTGTATTTTTGTGCAGGTGTGGTAGACAGCGAGGACATCCCACTGAACCTGAGCAGAGAGTTGCTGCAAGAGAGCGCCCTCATCAGGTTATTTTACCACACCGCATCACTCAAAGTGTATTTAAAGTTTTTTTTTCTTCTTCTCATATCCTTTTTTTCTGACCGCAGGAAGCTGCGTGATGTTTTGCAGCAGAGAGTGATTCGCTTCCTGCTGGACCAGAGTAAGAAGGAACCAGAGAAGTACGCAAAGTTCTTTGAGGACTACGGCCTCTTTATGAGGGAGGGCATCATCACCAACCAGGAACAGGACGTCAGGGTGAGTGTTTTCTTTCTGTTACTGCAAGAGTGAGTGTAGATAAAGACGGAGAAGAGAAGTTTTTACAGTACTATTTACAGAGAAATGACTTAGTCAATGACAAAACTAAACCAAAGCCAAACAGGAAGTGTGGTTAAATATATTTAATATATTTTAATTTTAATATTTAGTCTATTATACATGAATAATGGTAATAATAATAGTAACTTTTACAAACATATGACACTTTAACCTTTATTTGACTAAATCTAATTGATTGTTTTTTCAACTGTGCTTTAGAGAAACTTAAATCTAACTTAGTCAAATATTTGATACCCATATGACTTAAGAAATACTAAATCACTACTGTCTGTCAAATGCACAGGAGGACATTGCAAAGCTGCTGAGGTTCGAGTCGTCTGCTCTGCCTGCGGGACAGCAGACCAATCTGGTGGAGTACGCCTCCAGGATGAAGGCAGGCACAAGGAACATCTACTACCTGTGTGCCCCCAACCGCCACCTGGCAGAGCACTCACCGTACTACGAGGCCATGAAGAAGAAGGACATGGAGGTGAGAGGACCATGTGGACAATGGAGACAATTATATTTTCTTCTCTGTTAGGAAAAAAAGTGTTTCTGTGATACTTTTCCTCAATACTTTTTAAAAAACTGTCTGTGAACAGGTGCTGTTCTGCTACGAGCAGTTTGATGAGCTCACCCTGCTGCACCTCCGAGAGTTTGACAAGAAGAAGCTGATCTCAGTGGAGACGGACATTGTAGTGGACCATTACAAAGAGGAGAAGTTCGAGGACAACAAATCAGGTACAGTGAACTGTGTTTGCTGTAGAAAAGTGACTGTAATATAGTTTTTACAAGTTTTTTTTTTTCCATTAAAATATAATGTGGGGTCATCGCTACACGTCCGTAACAACAGAGGGCGTGTAAATGTGTATTTATTATTTCAATGATTTTCTTTCAGAATTTTAATATAAATAGAAACAGTAAACAAAGTTAAATTTGGTTATCACAGTCTTTTTTTTCTGAAGATTAGCCTTGAAAAGAGGGGTGGTCGTTCTATATTTGCGTCAATATACTATATGCTACAAATATTTACCTGTCACATGCAGGTCGCTTTTACTGCCACTTACAGCTGTAATGCTAACTGCTCTTCATGCGTTCTTCCTGCTGCAGCCTCTGAACGTCTGTCACAGGAGGAGGCTGACGACCTTATGGCCTGGATGAGAAACGCTCTGGGTACAAAGGTCACCAACATCAAGGTAAAGAGAAAAGATATAAAAAATTTAATGATGTGTTTCTGTGCAATGACTAAAACTTTTATTGTCTGGCCTTTAGCTCACTCCTCGTCTGGACACCCATCCAGCAATGATCACCGTGCTGGAAATGGGTGCGGCGCGTCACTTCCTCCGCACCCAGCAGTTGGCTCGCACTGCTGAGGAGAGAGCTCAGATCCTGCAGCCCACGCTGGAGATCAACGCTGGGTAAGGTTTGGTCTTTTAGGGTGGGGAGAGGGATTTTTTATTTGATGTATTTGAAATCTCTGCAACTGAGTTCTGTCTTCTTGTTACAGACACGATTTGATTAAGAAACTGCATGCACTAAAGGACACAAACGCTGAACTGGCTGGACTGCTGCTCGAGCAGGTGAGAGGAATCAAGCAACATATTTGTGGATATTCTCAGTCATCCAGGTTATCATAAAAATCTCAAAACCAGTCTTAAAGTAGGCAGCTGGACTCCTCAAGTAAGTTGAAGACGTTTTGCCTCTCATCCAAGAGCCTTCATCAGTTCTACTGTCCTGGTGGGGAGTTTCCAGGTATCTGTCTATCTGTCCACACCAAAGGGGGGGTGTGGTATCGAGTAAAGTGGCCAAGTGGCCAGATAAGGTCCGCTGGGCTTTCTAATCCAGTCCTGTACATTGTACAGTAAAGACTGATTTATTTCCTTCTGTTTCTTGCAGTGAATTAATTGATTGTTATTTCAGTGAATGCCACTAGATGGCATTAACATCAAACGTGCCAAATTTCCTTAGAAGGTTCCGGTCTAATCTTGTACATTTTATGTATATTACTACATCCAAACATTCTACATCCAGCCAATACCGACCTGGTCAAATTGTGAACCAAAATTCTTGTAGTGGCTGTGACTTCACAAGTTTCTTCCAGCAGGACATTAGAGCAGATGAGTTGAGATTATTGGTATTGCAGGTATTTCCGTTGCTGTGACTCTTCTTAAGTATTCTCTCACAGAGAAAGAATAGAATAGTCTTTATTGTCATTGGACCACAACGAAATTGATAATAAATAAATTGATATAAGCGATAAATACAAAAAATATGAAAAAATTGTATCCTCCTCTAATTCTTCTAGATCTATGACAATGCCATGATCGCAGCGGGACTGAACGACGACCCTCGACCCATGATTTCCCGACTGAATGATCTTCTGACTAAAGCTCTGGAGAAGCACTGATGGCCACGTTCAGACATGAACATGAACCTGAGGCTTTTTCAGCCGTCAACAAAAGGCCAATCAGTGGAGGAAGTACCGATCATATCCTGCTCTTTATCCCCTGATGGTGACACACACACACACACACACACACACACACACACACACACACACACTCTTGAAGTGTGAAAGAACATATTTAAAATAGTGGTTATACTGTGAGAAATTAAGCTGGATGGCACTGGTCGTGGTGTTTGTCAAACGTTAGATGAAAGAAAACTTTACTTTTTTTCCTCTTTTCTCAAAAATTAAATGTCAGCTTAGACCATCACCATGTAACACAGTAAAGAGTGTATTTGAAGCCAAGTTAAAACACCTGACAGTGGTTATTTTAAAGCTTGCATTGAAAAGTCGTGACTTGTGTTTCTGTCATTTTTGTTGTTTTTATTTGTTCACTCCTGTTTGTTTTCTAAGAAAATAAAAGGTTCACTGTGTAAATCAGAGGCGAAATTGTTATATAGTTCGTATGTTTTGGCAGAAAAGGGAAAAATAATGGATGTCATTACGTTTGAACGACTTGAATTAACAGACTTCATTTCCCTATTTTTGCCGACGGTGTTTGTCGCCCTCTACAGTTTACATGCATGACCCGTAGTACTTTTGTGCGGTCCGTTTGTGAAGGCGTCATTGGTTAAACAATTAAAGACGGTTGTAACGTTTTAGCATACTAGCATTTTAGCAACGTTCATGCTACAAATGCTGCAGTGAACGTGTACGATTTGTCACAATATTGCAGTTCATGTTAAGTCAACGATTGGATCAGAATCGCGAGCGTTCCCTGCCCTCTTGCGTACACAATCAAAACTTCAATATGTTTTTCTGTGAGCTAGGATGATGCAATTATGTAAAACTTTATCGAACAAAATGACACCTAAACTAGAGAAAATGTGAGGAAAAATATTATTAATAATTATGAAACGCATTATTCCATTAAATAAAGGTTGTAATGATTCTGCCATGGGTTGTATTTCCCATGGCAGTGTCATTATGTGCATTTTCACTAAATTAAAAAAAACGAACAAACCTCATTTTTGTCAATTGTATGAGACGTTTTGGATATATGAGTAAATGAACCAGAAAAATGGAGCAGCGTGAGGAGAAGCTGTACTCACTAAGCATGTGTGGGCTGAAAGTGGGGTCATTGAAGTGGACTGTTCCTGGATTATCCTCTGACCTCTGCTCCTGCTCCATCATTTAAAGCCAATTCGAAAGTACAAACAACCACACAGTTTGTAACGCTGACTACACAAATATCTGATCCTCACACAATAAAACCTCCTGACAGATGCTTACCATGTACAGTAATCGGGCTGGCATATAGGCTATTGACCCTTTCAAGCACTCAAGTTGTATGTGAGCGTAGCTTCTCTGCATTAAAATGTGAAAAATAGGCTACGAAGCTCACTGTCTCAGAAATGACTAAAAATACAATCATTTGTCTTAAAATACTTATTTATGCCCATTTCTGTTGTTAAAATTCTTTTTTGGTACACCAACTTTTGATCACTTCAATTGGTATGATGTATAGTAAAGTATACCACATTATACCTATGATATGTATATATAAGCAGAATTAGTATAATTATAAGGATGGTATGTGAACAAGTATATAAAATAAATATATGCTATATGAAACATATGCACATTGTAAGTAGTTGAGTAATGAAATTAAATAAACCGTTAGCTATATAAGTGGTTCCAGCAGACATATTAGTAGACGTAGTGTTTAAATGTATTTTGGTGTTTAATTTTTGCTCTGTGTCCCTTCTTTAATGTCTGCCGTCAGAACACGCAGGTTCGATTTCAGCGGCATGATCATCATGTTTTCCACAAACAAGCAGATGGGCTTTTAATTTTTAAAGGCGAATAAATAAAAGAGTTGTCTATGTAGATTCTCAGTCATCCAGGTCAAGGAGTTCCATTAGGCAACTTGACGTGAAATTTTCTCAAGAAGACATTTCACTTCTCATCCAATATATGTGACAAAAAATAAAGCTACTTCAGGTCCCACTTGTTGGGGTCATCTGAAGAAGTGTCAGCAGTTGTTAGGAGTCTGATGGGCCGTTGTAATCCTCATCATAATGATTTCAGTATGTGGGTGATAGGTTGTTGTCGTAGCCCACCTCAAATACTTTTTGGACTTTTAAACAC